TATCATTGTTGGATCAATTCATCGATTTTCACTTTAAATATATTTAAATTTCTGCATCGCTTCAGCGCTGTATTTGTTTTTGCTTGCCTTATATATTCTGTGTAAAATTAAATGAATTTAAAATCTAAAGGTTATAAAAAGAGATAGATTTGACAAAAATATCAATTGTTTCAAATTGTTTTAAAAAGTTAATTCTTACCTTTTTTATAATGAACTGGAGAAAACTTTGATTTTTGAATAAATTTTCAATTTTTCCATCATTGTGATTCATGTGGAACTTAATGAAATGAACTGATAAAAAGAATTTGGTAAAAGAACTGAAAATCCGTTAGCAATTTGCAAATGTTTTTAATTCACATTAATAAGCCTGGTGGCTATTTTTAACGTCTGCATAATGATTTATTTACTTTACCTTCAATGTCCTGTTAATACAAGTAGAAAGAATAAGCAAAAACTTTATAGCGAAAAAAAATCTATAAATCAAAAATTTGTAACAATAATTAAGACACTACTAGAAATAACATTTTCGTGTGTTATTTTTGCTTAAAATAATTTAATAAAAATAATAAATGTTGAAATTTGCGCTAAACGATAGAAATGTAAGTTTTATGAATTATCAGACGAAAAAAAAAATAGTAGTAATGAAAGCGGTTGTTATTATGCTTTAAATTGATATGAAGAATAAAAAATAGCTTTAATAGCTGAAAAATCTTTAACTGCCCATGCTATAATATTCGGTTTTTTTAACTACAAAAAATTACTGATTAAAAAATAATCAATTCTTTTTTCTCCCTTCAATTCTTTATATTGACCAGCAAACTAATTGATCTAAAATGAAGAATTCAATTCAAATACATTCACAATTAGTAAAACGAAGTAATACGCAATTATCATATTATGCAAATATATTATTCATTTAAAAATCTGCATATCTTGTTATTCATATTTTTTAGCAGCTTATTATAAAATCGAAATTTTGACTCAATTAAATGAAATTGAAGGAAATAAATTACTTTCAATCATGTATTCTTACCTTTGGTTTTTTGCACTACTAACAAAATTGTAATAAAAAAATATGAATTTATTTAATTTACATAATTAAGACTAAATGAACCAATTTTCCCGCATCGTATTACTGTATGATTTCATTGCCTTCTGTGATTACGATTCCAAATATTCTTGAATAATTTGATTGCTGTCTTGAGAATCTTGAGAATCTTCAGCAATTTATGCATCGCAACATTTTTCTCGATATCGTGGAATTAATATGGTACTTTCCCTTTCAACAGTCCTTACAGTAATTTCCACGTTTATTTTATGATATTTGTGTTTATCTAATAGAAAGAAAATCAAAAAAAGAGAAAAAACTTTGTAGGATCTAAAAATTAAATTGTTGCAATAATTTTATTTTTTGTAAATAAACGAATTGAAAATTTGGAGCAATAAATTTCAAACAAGGAAAATATAAGAATAGGAATATATAGCAAAGAACAAAAAAAGGTTTTATGAAATTTTAAAAACACCTTGGGTTATATAATCACATCAAACTAATTTGAATGTATTTCATTTTTTTAAAAAATAAAGAGAACGAACAAAGAATACAACTAAATTTCAAATCAATAATCAATTAAATAATAATTGCAAGATAAAATCTCAAATTAATGAAATGCAATTTTTTTCAGCATTAGAGATATATGCAAAAAATAACGATCATACAATATCATAAATTTTACAACAAACAATAAAAACAATCATTGAAAAGTAAAAAAAAAATATATTCAGCATATTATTATTTCGTTAATAAACAATTGAAATATTCGTTCATAAAATTTTGTCAACAAATGAAGAATACCAATATTGAAAGAGCATTTAAAAATAAGTGAAAATGATTGGAATGATTTGCAATGAGATCAAAATCATACTTGTAAGTAAGATTGATCAGAAAAGATTATTCAAAGCATAAATGAAATTTCACATGTGAGTTGTATATTAATTGAAAATTCATGTAAATGAATGTCAAAATGCAATGAAAGGAATCGATACGCGAAGCAAAATTTTTCAATATAACAATTAGAAATGTTTGCCAATTTTTTTCAGTGAATAATTTTTCTGCTAAAATTCAATGCAATTAAAAAAAAAATCAAAATTTTACCATATTAAAATGAATTAATGAAAATTTTTTTATTTAAATAATTTTCAAAGAAAAAGTATAGACGCATGTTTGTATATAAAAATCATTCAGTCAATCGTTTTTATCAATCTCATTTAAAAATTGTTTAATTAAACTGATCAGTTTCATAATTCGCCATTCCTCCTTGTCATCAGATCAAGATGAATTCTGAAATCTTAATGGTTCAGATAAGTCTCAGCAATTTATCTTTATCATCTATCAAATCAATCAATTTCAATATTTAAGCATGTCGTGAATTTAAAAAATATTAAAAAATATATGAAAAATTTATTTTTGTATTTATTTATTTCTGCATTTGTCTTTTTTTCCAATAATATGATAGAATTTTTAGATATAAATTAAAATAAAGAACAAGTTGAATTTTAGCAAATGCCAAAAAAAAGTGATAATATAATAAATGAAAAATGACTTTAAGTCAAACGGAAGTTGATCGGAATTTGTTAAATTTAATTGATATTGCAATACAGCAATTGCTGCCAAATTTTTCAATGTCCAATCTAAAAATAAAAATGCATGAATTTTAGATAAAAATTTCAGGATTTCACATTTTTACAGCAGGAAGTGTTAAACGATTAGGTATTTAGATATATTTGAATTAAATATTTTAAACATAACTAAAAAATCTTTGCAATAATTCTTCCTTTTTGTTTTCTTTCATTTGCATACAAAAATTATTTTAAAACTAACTGTAACTTAAAACACTGAGATCACACATTTCCACCCAATGTCCAGGAAAATCAGCACTGGGCATATTTATCCTTTCAAAACTGTAATAATATCATATATATGGTGTTTTTAAATATGCAAAGAGAAAAAAATTAATATTAGTTTAAAGATATGGATTTTAACTTCAATTAATATATTATACACAAATTTTAATTAGATATTTTAAATATGACTAATATATTATGCTATTATATATCTTCCGATCACATAGACTATAATTAATCCGAAAAACTTTTTCAATTTTTTTATTATAAAATACTCTTGGAATACTTTTCCTGTAACATTTAATAATTAAATAATTTTAACGATAATATGTCATTAAAATTTATAAGTTACACATTACTGCATACCTACGCTACAAGGAATCAAAACTATGATGTGGATTAAATTTTTTAACATAAAAATTCTTACAATTCACCACCAAATACATAAGCGCAATCGCCAACGACAACTCCGCAATGGCGCTCTCGACCACTTGGACCTCTTAAACCAAATGGTTTTATTCTCTGCCATACCATTGTTTTAGGATCAAATCGATGAAGTGTGGTTATGTAATGTTCACTTCTAAATCGATAACCACCAAATATATACATTTTACTGTTGTAAACCCCTGCAAATCACAAAGAAAAAAAAATATCCACGGGATTAAATAAATTTATATTGAAAATGAAAAAAAAA